TGACAAGAGTTGGCTCGGTTTTCTTGGAGAGTAAGTTTGAGTCACACGGTTAGTGTGCCAAATTAGTCAGACTTCCGGGATTAGCCTTTTATTGACAGTTGTAGGTCAACTGAGTAATATTTATATTCATGAATTCATGATGCATAGTACCGAATCCTTATAATTTTACGGCAGAAATAATAAACTATATCTCGTGTTTGCGGTGGAAATAGCCAATCATCCCGATCATGTGAACCGTATACTTTGTTGTAGCTTTTTGAGGGTTAAAAGACTTAGGGTAGGCTTTGGTCCTTCACGTTAAAAGTTCCAAAAGATCTAATTTAATCATCCTACAAAATTTTATAAAAGTTCATCTACAAAAATAATAAATGATTACACCAAATTACAAATCTATACATCGTTATAACATATTAGGATTTGAAAAGAATAAATAATAAATGTGAAAAGTAGATATAAAAATTCCTATAAACATAAAATCTCAGTATCTTAATTGTAAAATATATGTGAATCGCCAGTATTACAACAAATGCTTTAAATTACTCGTCGGCATGTAATTAAGTGTACATGTTGGTTTTCAAAATCAGTCGTTCGTTGTATTGAATCTGCCGTCTATTTAAGAAAGGAATGGACTTTAGTAAGGATATCGTTTTCACTAGTTAGGCATGCAATAAATATTGTGGACGCTCATATAACAATTGAAATACTATCTCCTCTAAAGCGTTATTGTGCTTTCTTTTTTCATGAGCCCGTGACCTTTAGAACGTTTAAGCAGAAACGTGATTTACAAGAAACACGAACTCACGATTATAGGAATTTGAGACATGTGATCCCACGTACATGTATTACTAAAATGATACGTAAAAGAAATCTATTGTATGTTAGGTTTTGTTTCGTATGAATTTTGTAACTTTTGTCTAGAAAAAGAAAATATCGATCAAAAGTTTGTCAAACTTGTATACCGGGTGTGATGGACTTTTGATACAATTGGAAAAGTGTGTGCATGAAGAAGACATGTTGGTTACATACGTCAAATCAATGAACAAATTCATTTGTTTTGATAATAAAGCAAATAAAATAATTCAACCTTTAATAAAGGCCGACATGCATATTCCTTTTTTCATCTTACTACTTAATTAGCATATGGTTTTTGATTTTTCTCTAGAGAAAAACTTTAAAATAACGAGGTTTTATAAACACAAACCAAAACAGTTTGCTGTTATTGCTATTCATATGTCCGATTAGAAATTTATGCTATTTCGTATTGTCTTGTAGTGTATTTGATTACAACTTTACATTAAAAAGGACCTAAAAGTGTTCATAGCATATTGTAGCAGTAAACCTGTGTGTGTGTGTGTGTGGTGTGTGTGTGTGTGTGTGTGTGTGGTGTGTGTGTGTGTGTGTGTGTGTGTGTGTGTGTGTGTGTGTGTGTGTGTGTGTATATATATATATATATATATATATATATATATATATATAGGGGATAGGGAATATACATTACAGCCCCACCTAAGCTTATGTACTAAACCTCTAAAATATGTCGTTTTAACATGCTAAATATGTCCGGTTTGGTTTCACTTGGTAAATATATCATCCTCCATAACATTTCTTTCTTTCATTATCGTTTTACCATCTCTGTTTTCTTTCCTCAATTATCGTTTATTACTTCACCAAAGTGAACATTACTAAACCCTAAATCTAAACCCTAAACCCTAAATCTAAACCCTAAACCCTAAACCTTAAACCCTAAACCCTAAACCCTAACCCTAAACCCTAAACCTAAACCCTAAACCCTAAACCCTAAACCCTAAACCCTATTGTGTCGATCTTGAATTTACATCTTGAAGTATTAACCGTGAATCCATTAACCGTAATCTTTATATAGTAAAATAATGTATTTTCAAAAGGTTTAGTACCTAAGCTTAGGTGGGGCTGTAATGTATATTCCCTTTTCCCATATATATATATATATATATATATATATATATATATATATATATATATATATGTAGAGGTTCATTTGAGACCACCTATATTTTATGAGACATGGGGACCAAATCTGAGCCTTTGATCAAAACTGATCTTGTGGCTCATAAGAAAACGTGATTAACACTAAATAATCTAAAAAAATAGTTAATTAGGAGTAGATTAGTCACTAGGTTAACTTTTAGATCATCAGATATGTTATCTTCACATTATCACAAAACCCAGCTGCTTAGATTCTTTCTACCAATTCACACTAATCAATCAACATTCCTTAATCTTCGATTCATGCTAATCAATCTTTTCTATGCTTTGATTTGAGTGATTGAGGTTTATGTTCATCTATCGACATCAACAATTCATTACAAGATTTTTATCGATTTTAGCTCTGTGATCATCGATTTCATCCAAGGTAGAAGTTCAAGCGTTCAGTCGAATTCTGCTAATCTTCATCTTCAACAATTGCTAACGATCTTTCAAGCTGTGCTTTTTACTCTACATCATGATTTTATCAATTGATCAAGGTTTGAGTTTTCTTCCCCTGAGTTTTCATCACTTTCAGATCAACGATTTTTAGCTATTCATCAACATTGGTAATCAATCATAAACTGATATCGATGTCCATCATATTGATGCTTCGAGTTTACTCTCAAATAAGGTGTTTTATCAATTTAACTTCATCTTAAATCTATTATCATTTCAAGTATTTGATTTCAGCCATCGATTATCAATTTCAAGCTTTTGGTTTTTTCTGTGCATTCGAGCACATATTAAATGAAGATAAGCAAGCAAAAACAACGTATCTTTGTGTTATTTTGTGCTCATTCTATAAAATCAATGAGGTATGTATATAACTATTATTGTTCTTGAGCCAATTCTCTTACATTATACGTGCAATCCACCTGTTTGATGAAAGTCCTGAATGAATAAAGAGTCTGATGTAGAGTCTAATATATCACTCCTTCCTTCCCACCCTTAAACTTTGTTACTATTAATGATATTGACCCTAAATTCCAGGCTGATTTTTCTTAAATTAGTGATGATTGGTGTACTTCTTTTTTCAGTGGTTGAAGGACATACAACTATCATCTATGCAAATGTTCAGTGTATATGTTCGAAGAAGCGTATCACCCCTATCTTTCCACCATTAATTAATGATGAGAACTTCAAGATTCAAGAAGCATATTGACTTGTTGGTTTAAATGGTTCTTGGTCCATGCTAAGAAGTTGATGGATGATGAGGACTTAGTTCATCTTTAGAATCGAAATTTGCAATGAGGATGTTGGTTTAATTTACTCCCTGCACTCTCTTTATTTCTTTCTTGATGAAATTGTTCTCTACATTTGTGCAACTTTAAACATTGTTATTACAGCAGATATATATCCTAATACCCATCAAACCCCTTTCATCCCTCTCACAGTGTAAAGTGGTACATACAATTATTAAATTAGCTAAATCTTTCATGTCTTCTATCATTACAACTTTTTAGGTAAGTCTTGAATGGAACTGTAGAGAATGTGGCTCGATAATAATTTCCTGTAGTGTCTCATTCAATGTAGTGGGATGTTGTAAATTTGCTTATATATATATATATATATATATATATATATATATATATATATATTTTGGTTTCAAGTGATGTATTTGAGGTAATTGAATAAAACGATAACACTATATTCTAAGTTTTTACTTTTACATTGGTATTTACAAATAAACTGTGCATTATTTTAATTTTCTTACATATATATTGCTATATTCTAGTTTGATATTTGATGTTCATATAATCATTTAGTGTTACATTCTATTTACAATGTTCTACATATAAAAACATCCTATAACATTATTCTATAAGAATATTAAGTTGTAACTTGAATATAGACAACCTAATTAAATTATTCTGTTAGAATGGTATGTATATTCAGAATATTAAATATAACATTAGAATCTTATGTAATATAAGTTCATTTTATATGTTATAACACAATTTAGAATATTACACTTTAATATTATAATATTCCATACAATTTCATAATATTACGTATCAATTAACAATATATTAGTAAATACTGTAACCTTATGATATATTTTTTATAATACAAACTTGAAATTTGGTTTTTAATCTATGAGGTTTTTAGAATACGTTTCAACTTCCAGAGAAAAGTTTGATATTTATCCTAAAAGTATTCATTTCATTTTATAAACTTATATGTTTCTCACTCGTTTAAAAAGTTTATTACTCTAGGTTCCTACATATTATTTGGTTTCCTACACACTTGAAAGGAATGATGGTCTGAATTAGAATATTTCATATTATAATATAATATTACATCATATTACAATCTTTCAGATTATTACACATTAACATTATAAACATTTCTTTTCTATAAATCAATTTTTTTTCTATAGACTATTCTATATTTTCCTATAACACTATAAGTTGTAAATTCAGAATATTACATAATATTTCATATAATATTAGAATCTTACATAATGTAAGTTAATTGTACACATTACAACATAATTTTAAAGGGCAAACATCTTTTGTATGATGATTGCAGTATAATCTTATATAATCTTACATAATTTTTGCATTGAAGTATATATGAATAGTCTTATGTATGATAATTAGAGTATAATGTTTTGTTACCAAATTATTATAATACAATATTATACATGTAAGAATATTATATTGGTATATATATGCAACATCTTTTATTATTCTAATAGAATAATGATGCCTTTAACATTATTCTATTAGAATATTCTAAATTTTTTTTTTGGTTACTATAGAATATTCTACCATGACCATTAAGAAGTGATCATAATACCAACTATTCATTAAGCATTAATCACCTAATAAACCATATCAAGTTTCTTACATAATACTAGACAACATTTTTTTTGTATAATTTGTTCAAAATAAGATAGATATTAGAAAATGAATTGTTGTTTAGTCACCATAACCACGTTTAAGTAATTCCAAACTTCTATCAAATCCTATTTATTACCCTTTTCTCGACTAGAAAAAAACTGTAGTTGAAAATATGTCTCTAAACTTCCTTATCATCTCCTTCGTTCTATTGTCTTCAGAGAATTTCGATAGACAATGCAAAATAATATCTTCCATATTATCCTTTTCAGTTGAGACATTGTTGAAAATTGTTTCATACTTTTCTTCATACTCCTGGGAAAAAAAAGACATTAGAATATTTTTCTTATATTAAGTTAGGACATAATTAAAATATATTCTAAAACATAATTAAATAATATATTCTACTTAGAATATACCTCAATACGTGTGTCCTGATTCTCGTTCTCCTGATTCTCATTCTTGTCACGTTCTAAATTTGAACTTTGTTCAATTAGATTTCCAACCCCAAATCCACCAGCTTCAATCTCAAAAGATTGTCTTTCCTTCAACTTATCTGCTGTCCACATCGTAACTAATGGTGTTCTACGTTCTATTTTTTGGAGCTTGCATTCAATTTCATCACAGTAAATTAGCTAAATTATTTCAACATCATATTAGATATCCATTTTTAAGAAAAAAATAAGTATATGAAAAAACATACCAACAGCAACAACATCGGGCCTCTGTAATAACACTTGGGGTTATCTGGACGTCATCTCCCTTTTGATTTTTTCACACAGTACAACAAATACGCACACCAATCGATTTTAAAAATGTCATCTACTTCAACAAGTGCTCTAACTAGAAGTAAGTTGTTTGTCCCCATAGGAATGGATTCTGCAAACATATTAACAAATAAAGCTATGAAACCCAGCTTGAAATTCATATCCACTTGTTCGGATTTTTGAATAATCTTCTTGTAGTTTGTTGCATTTGCCTTTCCACCTTTAAGTTCCTTCATCCATCCATCAAACACTTGATGATCTTCGCTAACCATGTCCAAGTCAAATAAGCTTTTTTCAGTTTTGGGTAAACCAAACACTTTATGAATTTTTTCCTTTGTGATCTTTATTCTTTTTCCTTTAATCAGAATACTGTTTGTGCCTTCATCATAATGCTCAAGCACAAAATGGCAAAGTTTTAAGGGAATACTCTTAATGTTGATCTTCAAAAATGATTTAAATCCCATCCGTTTCACCCAATCTTTTTGTTCTGATGTCAAAGAACTTACAGCATCTGTCATCAATCCAGGTGCCGATCTAGTGTTTATTGAAGGCAACTCCTTCAATATATCTTTCACAGTCTTTTGCTCTTTGACGGTTTTTTGCTTCTTTATTGCTGCACGATTGTCCCCACTATTCCTTTTCGTTTTTGCTTCTTTAATCTTTGTCACTCCTTTAACATATTTTCTATCACCGATTCTCTTTTTTACATAGATTTCTTCATGAGATTCATCATATAATTCATTACATCAGTCATAAATGTTAGTAACACCACAAAAATCCAAAAATCCTATATCATCTAATTACAAAGTAATATTCCAAAAGAATATTATACATATACACTTATTATATCAGAATATTGTATGGATCAAATGAGTGTTTTTGTGTGCTGAACGAAAAAGAATGAAAAATTCCATTCCTGCCCCTCCGTGTCTTGATCTAATACCAAAGTTCCATTAATTTACAAAAATGTCACTGCCTATTTTATGGTTTAATCTAACTTAATATAAGCCTTTGATTATTGAAGATGAGTGGTTAAGATTTGGTCTCCCCGTCTCATAAAATCTAGTGGTCTCACATGAACCTAACCCTATATAGAAAAACATTAATAGAATATATAATATTTTATTATAATACATAGAATAACAGAAACAAATGAGATAAATATTTTATTAGAATACATAGAATACACAATATATCGTTTATTCTTTTATATTCTATTATAATACATAGAATATTTTATTATAATACATAGAATAACATAAACAAATTAGATTAATATTTAAAAATATTCTATTAGAATAAAATTAATAGAATATAGAAAAACATTAATGGAATATAGAATATTTTATTATAATACATAGAATAACAGAAAGAAATGAGATAAATATTTTATTAGAATAGAATAACTGATGATGTACCTTTTTTTTTCATCTTGAGAATGCACCTTTTGTTTCCCTATTGTTCAATGGATTTTTAGAATAAATAATATTAGAAAAAAGATAATAACATCATAAAAATAGAATACAAAATTAACACTTCAGAATATTCTATTAGAATAACATCTATATGAATATGACAATATGTCTACTATGTTTTAGAAGCCAATGAATGTTGAGACATCCATATAATTAATAACAGAAGTCAAAGTCAAACACCAACTTTGACAACTTCAGAAAATCCAGCAACATTCTATAATTAATGGCAGAAGTCAAAGTCAAACACCAAACTATAATTATTTTTATTGGCAAAAAACTTTGAGAAACCAACTGAAAGGATTAGAAAATATCAGATTCTAACAAAGTATGAACTTTTAATATTAGTCAACACAAAATCTCCAATTGAAAAGAACTATGTAAAATGTTTCTGCTAACTCTAATTGTAAATGCATAATCAATAATAACAAATATGAATTTTACCTATATATGACATTCTTGCTATTAGAATAACATTAATACACAAGATATTATAATACAAATACAATAATTGATGATATACCTTTTTTTTCTTTGGCTTTTGTTGTTGTATCGACTGATTCATCAATAAGCTTTAATGATTTTCTTTTTTCAATTAGTCGTTCGGCTATTTAAGTTTTTTCATGAGTTTTATCCATATCCGACCTTTTTGCTGTTTATTGCCATTTTCAGAATCAAATTTGGAATTAATAAATGATTTATCATATCCAAATATCTAGAATAACATTTAAAAATATTCTATTAGAATAAGGAAACAAATGAGATTAATATTTAAAAATATTCTGTTAGAATAAGATTAATAGAATATAGAAAAACATTAATAGAATATAGAATATTTTATTATAATACATAGAATAACAGAAACAAATGAGATAACTATTTTATTAGAATACATAGAATACACAATATATCATTTATTCTTTTATATTCTATTATAATACATAGAATCTTTTATTATAATACATAGAATAACATAAACAAATGAGATTAATATTTAAAAATATTCTATTAGAATAAGATTAATAGAATGTAGAAAAACATTAATAGAATATAGAATATTTTATTATAATACATAGAATAACAGAAACAAATGAGATAAATATTTTATTAGAATAGAATAACTGATGATGTACCTTTTTTTTCTTTTTCTTTTGAAGCTGTAGCTGTTGATTCATCGATAGATTTCGATGATTTTCTTTTTTGAACCAACCATTTGCCTGTTGAAGTTTCCACTTCATTACTTCTACCCGCTGTCATCATTTTTATTTTTGATTTTGTCATTCTTGTTATAATATTAGCTGCATGAAAATAATTAATGTTAGTACAAACAGTTGCATAATATTAGAATTATAAACTATAAAGTCAAAGATTGAGCTTAAAAGTGTAGCAGTTTAAAAGCATTTTCTTCATTCTTTAATTGATCAGCATTTTTCCTTCATATGTTATATGTTCTGTTTTGAAAAATAAAAAATCTAATCATAATACTTATACCAAGGAATTGTCACCTAATTTCATCTTTCAACAAGGTACCAGTCAAACGATTCTAAAAATCTCTCAAACCAGCCATTTTTGAAACAGGGGTAAAATCTTCAATACTTTGCAATGCATTTGCACAAGGTCCTTACACCTGCTAGTTTGATTACTACCGATTTTGCAGATTAATCTAATGTTATTTTCTACATTTTCGCTTGCTTCTTGAAGGTATGGTATATCTTGCATCTTATTTCATTTCGTTTCACCTATTTCACTTTATGATCCTAATAATGTGTATTTGCCTAACCCTAATCACTAACAGTATGTAGATTTGGAGAATGGAGCAACAATAGAAGATCAATTCTCGAAGCAACATCCTTGTTATCAAACAAGAACAATGATATATAATGATAATTAACAGAACTATTGAAAATACCTGGAATTTCTTGAGAAGTTTTGGTAATAATGTCATTTAGATGACCTGATGGTGTAGATTCTGAAGCACGTGTTGATGTATCCATTTTCTTTGATAGAAATATTCGATAAGAATCAAAGTAAGTAAGTTTAGGGTTTTATCGAGGGATTAAAGTGCAGAACTCCACAAATGAAATCGATCCAAAGAGAAATCGAAGATGACGAGTGCAAAATCACAAGAAGTTAGTGTTATAGTTGATTATCGAGGGTTTTCGTGTAACAATCAGAAGATGAATTTCAGGAAGCAGAACGATGATTGAGATTTGGATCATATGGGTTTTAGTGTTCGTATCTAGGGTTTTTAGGAAGAATATCGGGTGTTTTTGTGTGCCGAACGAAAAAGAATGCAAAATTCCATTTCTGCCCCTCCGTGTCTTGATCTAATCCCAAAGTTCCATTAATTTACAAAAATGCCACCGCCTATTTTATGGTTTAATCTAAATTAATATCAGCCTTTGATTATTCAAGATGAGTGGTCAAGATTTGGTCTCCCCGTCTCACAAAATCTAGTGGTCTCACATGAACGTAACCCTATATATATATATATATATATATATATATATATATATATATATATAATGTAGATGGACAACTATTGTGTGGACGTATGGACAATGTTATTCTATGAGAATTACTAAGAGAATAGGTTGTTTAGTAATGTGAAAACGTTGAACCTCACACGACTGTTGTCGTTTTCATGCATTCTTATTAATTCTTATTCATTTTTGTTCTCACACATCGTTTTTTACTCATTTTCATTTTTACAGAATACGACTCAATAAACATTCTGACAGAATGAGAATAATAATAAAAAAAATCTATAATAACTTTATAGACGATTTAATTTGTGTGAATGCGTAATAATGACAATAGTTATATAAGATTGAACGTATTCATATTTTTAAATAACATATTTTATTGTCATTCTCACAGAATGTCACTGTCCAAACGTCCGCACAATAGATGTCAATCCTTATATATATATATATATATATATATATATATATATATATATATATATATAAGGTATGTTTAAGGGTCATGCTAAACACAACCCATAAATAGTCTTAGATATTTCATTCATTAATGTTGTCATTAAGTCTGAAAGAAACAAACTAAGCACTCACTAAGAACATAAATGAAGGGCACCCTTAAGGTGAAAATACAATCTTATATATGAGTCTATTTGTCAAAGTATAACACCTAAATAAATAAATAAATTTGAATGGGGTGTTATAACTGGAAAAAAATAATAGTAAAATGTTAAACAAACAAACAAATGAAAGTACATTGTTACTTCTTTGAAGCATCTTCATTTGTAATTTGTTTAAAACAGATCTATAAGTGCCTACAAGAAACATGAAATATATGTTAAATTGTTGCCAATATGTGCAATGTACTTTAACATCATTTAAGGTTATGATTTCGAAGTTAGCAACTGAGTTCATCTGATTTCATATGTAAAAATCTACAAAACAGGAGATATGTTACCTTTAAGAGAGTGAGTCCATCTAATGACCACATCCAAATTCAGTTTAAAGAAGATAATATATGTTATAAGTGTTGGTAAAAGTAGATGTAAGTTATTGAAAGGTGAAAGATTCATATCAAACATCATTTACTTCATATGGACTAAGATTGAATACCTTACAACACCCCATATCATCTCATTTCTTAAAACTTGACAAAATAAAACAAATCAGTCCTTTAAACTATGTCTAATCTTACATTATGTCTAATCTAGTTATCTACCTAATCAAATTATGAGTTCCACACAAAGAAACAACTTTGGCTCCTAACTATACCCTTTATTTTACTTTATCTAGTAGGTACCTGATTAGTGATGAAGACCTATGAGTTTTTTTTAAACATAATACAATGCATTGATAGGGGATTGAATGTACAATTCACTAAGAGAAAAAAAAACCTTTATTAAAATATGATGTTAAAATTCAGAAAAAGTATATGAAAATACAATGTAGATTCAAATCAGAATAATATGGTCTTTAGGAAGAATAAGATTTGCTTCAGTTGGAAACATTTTCATCTGCCACTTTAATTATAGCTTACTAAAAGCCAAATGTTGACCAATTAGTGTATGTGAAGGATGAAAAATATAGGTTATGTAATGAAATTTTGTATGTTTGTGCATGAGAATTTGTATTCCACATAACTTGCCAATTATTGATGGGAGATCGGTATCCTTTCCCTACAGCATATGATTTAATTGTCTGAATCCAAATATGTAACTAATAAATCTAATTTTTGACCTGTTTAACAGACCACATCACTTACCTCTAACATTCTGCAAATACTAAAAAGACCATTCAAAGTTCAAACTGTGAATAAAAATGTTTGGTCATTACTGTTTAACAAACTACATCACTTACCTCCAACACTCTTCAAATACTAAAAAAAAGCTTCACAAGATAGCAGCATACTTTCATTTGCTTATTTACTATAGCATCTTACTTTAATTTATATTTATTCCAACACTATACTTTCAAGATCTTTTCTATCAAGACATTATACTTTGGAATATCAACCTAATTATGGCATTACTTCCCATTGTTTTCTTATGAAAATATTATATTTGGGAAAATCACCCAATTTGTAACGTCCCAAATTTGAAACCAAAATTTTCATTTCAAAAATAGAATATAATATAAAATTGTCTTTCCAAAAGTAATATAAAGACTCTTTTTATTCGATCATTATAAAACATAGCTTTTCAAAAACATAGTCTCATAAAATCAGTGAAAGTCTAATTCATAAAACAACAGCAATGCATGTACGGTACAGTCAAACTGGGCAACTCCCTCCGACAACAGAACAACATAAAAAACATATAATCTACAACTATAAGCACAAAGCTTAGTGAGTTCCCCATTATACCACATATGTAACGACACGAATTTTCAAACCAAACTTTTCATTTTTAATTTCATGAAACACACATTATAATTTTAAAACACCAAGTGTCAGTTAACAAAGATTTCAAAACATTATGTCAAATCCAGGATCCACAAGATAACTCTATCTTAAATGTGTGCGTGTGTACAATCATGCCGGTGCATTCCTGCGGTCCTCTGAAGTACCTGAAACACATATCACATAACACAGTAAGCACGAATGCTTAGTGAGTTCCCAAAAATACCACATACATATAATTAGCCACTTAAGGCTATAGCAATAAGAGACCTTACGGTCAATGTGTCTCAGTGGGGCCTTCCGGTCCCACAACTCTGGTAGACCTTCCGGTCCTACCGATGACGACCTTCCGGTCCAAACCCTGTTGACCTTCCGGTCTAAACCATGCAAACATATACATATCACATAGAACATATATCTCATAACACTTATAAACACATAAGGCCTTCTAGTCACACATAATTCCCACTCGGGGTAAGGTATAGTGAGAAGACTCACCTCGTAAGCTAGCTAGTAAAATCTCGTGCTCGAAATCCTCGATCTAGCCTCCGCCTATCACATGGATAATATTTCTAATCAATACTCCCCTCACACTCAATTACACTATTCGTTGATCTCTCTTACACTCTTAGCCCCTTAAATGGGTAAAAGACCATTTTACCCCTCCCTGACTTTTACTACTCATTTGACCAGACCTTACAGTCAACAGAAGTCAAACTCTAGTCAACAGTCCAAAATTGACCAGACTCGTCGAGTCCCATCGTTTCTCAGTAACCTCAGGAAGGTCCAGCTCGTCGAGTTAACCCCTAACTCGTCGAGTTAGAGCGCGATTCAACGCATCGGGACATACCCTAAGCTACTCGCCGAGTCGGCTCATCAACTCGGCGAGTCTATTAAGACTCAGCTTGCATTCAGACGATTTTAAGGCGGAACATTTCCTCAAACTCCAGATCCATATTCTCAGGGCTCAAATATCACGTAAAGTCATAGACTTTACGTCCATGCATGTCATTTTAGGAAAGAAATGCCAAGATCATGCCTTAACAAAGGTTTTTCTCATAAGGACTTCACCAAATCAGAATAAAGCTTGAACCTTTAGATGTTAAGGGTCTCCTACAGTCCAGATCTGGAGTTCAAGCTTCCTCATGAACCCCAAACCTTTCAAGTCCCAAAACATACACAAAAAGGAGCCCTAATCTCCCAAAAATGTCATCTACTTAATCAGAAGGAAAGGTTCGAACTTGATACCTTTAACAGAAGCTCATGGACGAGTATTAGCAGATCCAATGCCCCTCCTATACTCCTTGCTCGAAAACTCTCTTCTCCCTTCCAAAAATGCACCAAAGATCTCAAAGTTAGCTCTCTCTCTCTCTCACTCTATG